AAAATTCCTATCCCCTCTAGCTCACTTGTCCCTAAGGTGCGAGGACACATTTTTTTTAAGTAGGAATAGAGTTGAAACAGTGTATTAAAATATCTGTGTTCTCTGCATATCTCTCTCCTACACCACCGGAAGTCTTTTAGTCTTTTTTCCGTTTCATCAGCTGCTTCCCAAGCTCCTTTTGGAATCAAGCAACACATTGTAATAGTAAGCAGCATTCGTGTTTTGAAGGGAAATCTAGACAAGGCAATACATTCATGGAAAACATACACACAGGAAAACATCTGAAATCACCTGGCAATAAGTGTAATAAATCTAACATATTCTACGTGTAAACCCAAGAATTTAATTTAAACACAACCTTTTTTTTAAAAAAAAGAAAGCTTCTACTTGCATACATTCATAAAGTGAAGAATAGTGTTTGAAACATCTCTACAGCATGACTGAATCCTGGTGTCGAGGTTAAGATGACGTGCAACCACCACCTCTAAAGGAAACTGTAAAACGCCACTACCGCAATCGCCACCACCTCCTCTACATGCTCATTCAGTTTAATTACAAAAATAAATATACTGCACTCTCGCAAGAGAGTAAAGGAGTCAGTGGATGAAGCCAGGACTGTCTTATAACCACAGACCCTTGTAAAATTGTTCCCCAAAACTGTAATTCTCTGCTGTGACATACTGACCATTTGAATCATGTAAAGCCATGGTCCACTGACGTGAGTCAGGTTGCCTTAGGCCCCCCAAACTCTATAGAATTACTAAGAAGGATGAACGTTAACAAGATATCAGCAAGACAGAACAGCAGTGAAGGGTGGATATGGCTGTGGAAAAAGCATTAGATTTGGAATCTTAAGGCTGGGGTTTTTAAACCAACACCTCTACACCAGGATTTGAAAAGTCATTTGACACAACTGAGCCTCCATTTCTCTAGGTATAAAATAAGTAAGGTTGTTGAAATCATCTTTAGGATCCTTTTCAGTTCCAAAACCCTCCATTTTTAATAGTATATGTTCATTTTTGAATAGTACTTTTATTTAGATTAAAAAAAAGATAAAATAGTATTGTTACACGTCATGTCTACTTCATCCCTTATGCCGTGCTCCCCACTGCTGTCCCGCAAACCCCAAGCACCAGTAATGATCCTCATTAGTTTCTTATGAAACTACAGAAATGTGAGCAAACACTAATATACACTGTCTTGGTTCTTCTCTAACATAGAAGGTGCCACACGGTCCCTACTGTACCATCGAGATACTGCGTATCTCTGAGAGCCTTCCACATCAGTTCAGAGACTTCCCTCATTCTTTTCAACAGTGGCACAGATTTCATTAGATGGATCTCCAAAGTCTACTTGACCAATATCCTACTGATAAATACTTGAATTTTTTCACTCTTTGGCTACGATAAATAATGCTGCAAAAAATAAACTTTTATGCAGATGATCTCTACATTTTAACTTAAGGAGAAATTTCCAGAAGTGGAATCACTGAGTCACTGGGAAAATGCATCTAGAAGTTTAACAAAATCTGCCCAACTGCCTTCCACATAGCTTGCACTTTTCTGCACTCTCAACGGCCATGTCTGACAATCTTTATCCCCCCACCTTCTCACTAAGCTGAGGTTCTCCTCTTCCTTCTCCTTTGGATTTCTATCTCATATGATAAGCAGATGCCACTTCAGTGGGATTTCTCTTCATTTGTGTTTCTCTTATTATGATGAGTTTGCCCAGGAATCACTGAGTTTCTTACACTGTGCGCACTTCTGAGCTTATTTCTTGTCCACATCCCTGTAAGTTGCTTGTCTTTTTCTTACTGGTTTACAAGTAAAAATTCTATTTCAAGAAAACATTCCTGAACTAATGATATTTACCACATTCTTTAATAACATTTGGCTGTGTCCCCACCAAAACCTCACCTTGAATTGCAACTCCCACAATTCCCGCACGTCGTGGGAGGAACCCGGTGGGAGGTAATGGAATCATGGAACAAGTGTTTCCCGTGCTCTTCTCATAATAGTAAGTCTCATAAGATCTGATGGTTTTAAGAACAGGAGTTTCCTTGTACAGCTCTCTTTTTGCTTGCTGCCATCCATGTGAGATGTGACTCACTGCCTCCCACCATGATTTTGATGCTAACCCAGCCACATGGAACTGTAATCCACTAAACCCCTTCTCCTGTATAAATTACCCAGTCTCAGGTATGACTATATCAGCAGCATGAAAAGAGCCTAATACCCTGAACTAATGATATTTACTACTTACTGAATGCTTTAATGGCTTAAAAAGAGTTACAGTTTCTTACTGGAAGGTATTAGCCACCATTACTTAACATTCTAGTGATGTGTAGTAAGTATTTGTATATAATATCCATGAAGAAACATTCTTTTGATTTTTGAAAAGACAATTTCACTTTCAATAAGAGAAAGGAATGGCTTGGAAGCATGCATGAAGATGATTCCACCTCACCAAATATCATAAATACTTGGATAAGAGAGAAGAAGTGATGACCATAACTAAATATTAAGTATAAAACAGCTTAAAATATAAAAATATTTAATTTTATATCTTTGAACAGTCCTTTCATTGCATGTTTAAGAGTTCAATTACATCAATGTAAAACAATTTTACTTAGTATCATATTTTATCACAATTTTACTTAATATCACTTAATATCATAAAATTCAAGTATCCAAATAGACACAATCATTTTCCTAGTGAACTTCTAAGCTGTGTCAATGATCTTGTTCTGTAATTCATGGAAAATGTATTTTAAAATTCTGAAAACACTGACAACGATGAAACCTCTGCCCTAATGCAGTGATCAGGCAGCTACAATGCTGATATAAATATTTTCCTTTTCTTCACTCTGTGAGGAAATATCCAACCATTTAAAAAATTCTTAAATGTAAATAGATCCTAATACTATGGAGGAATTAGAAGTCTAACCAAGTAACATTTACATATCTAGAAAAAGTTTTCCTTCAACGACACAGGACCCATTCTCCACATATACTTCCATGAGACAAGTCCAAAGGAAGCAAAAGAAGATGGCCCACAGGGCGTTCCAACTCTACAGGACCTACAGCTAATTCCAGAGCAGGGAAGGACTTCTCACCCACTACATTGAGTCTCGTTGAATACATGACTCCGGCAAGGCCGTATTAGAGGGATGAGAATCCTTTGACTTTTATCATTTTAACTCTGCTGGTCACCTGAGGACTCCCACAGATCTCTCCAGTGGACAGTCTTGAAAAAGGAAGTGGTGACGTGGCTCAGGATGCAAAGCCAGTGTGTACCAACAGAGAAACAAACACCCAGGCTTCCTGGAGTCCTCGTTGCTACTAGGGCACACAGTCCCAGGACCCAAGCTCTGCCCGCAGACCTACAATCCAAATGACCTTGGGCAAGTTGTACAAGCTTTCTGTGACTCAGATTCTTCACTGTTCACTTTGAGGAGTGAATGAATTAGGCATTAAAAGCAGTGAGTAGTAAACAGTATAGCAGCTCTGTGGAAGTTCACCATATACCATGAGGCTGAATTCCATGACTGCATAACTTTAACCTGAGCAGTCAACAGCTGAAATGGAAATATTCAAAAGCATCTCCTCCGTAAGGACAAATACAGGGGAAAATGAAGATGAAAACCCAGCAGAATACAGTCATGGTAAAGGTTAGCAGACACGGAACCATTAAATGATGCAAATAGCACGGTGAGGCCACCAGGCAAGGTGGGACTTAAACTGTGTGGGGGTTGGATGATTTTCCCAGTAGGGTTAATGCCCCAAGCAATCCAATCCCTGGCAATCTGGAAAGGTTAGTACAAAACCCCTTATTAGTTCAGGTTTTCTGTTAAAATCCTCCCCAATAAGTTTACTTTTCTATTCTCTTTCTAATTTTCTTCTTTTTCTTTTTCTTTTTTTTTTTTTTTTGAGATGGAGTCTCACTCTATTGCCAGGCTGGAGTGCAGTGGCGCAATCTCCGCTCACTGCAACTTTCGTTTTCAGGTTTTAAGCAATCCTCCTGCCTCAGCCTTCCGAGTAGCTGGGATTACAGGCACATACCACCACGCCTGGCTAATTTTTTGTATTTTTAGTAGAGATGAGGTTTCACTATGTTGGCCAGGATGGTCTCGATTCTTGACCTCATGATCCATCTGCCTCAGCCTCCCAAAGTGCTGGGATTACAGGCGTGAGCCACCGTGCCCGGCCTCTTCTTACTATACCTTTATTATTCTTCTCTTAGTCTCACCTGTCATCTTCTTCTTTTCTTTTCTATTTTTTTTTTTTTTTGAGATGGAGTCTCTCTCTGTTGCCCACGCTGGAGTGCAGTGGCACAATCTCAGCTCACTGCAACCTCTGCCTCCAGGTTCCAGCAATTCTCCTGTTTCAGCCTCCTGAGTAGCTGGGATTATAGGCACCGACCACCATGCCCAGCTACATTTTGTATTTTTTTTTTAAGTAGAAATGGGATTTCACCTATTGGCCACAATGGTCTCGAATTCCTGACCTCATGATCCACCCGCCTTGGCCTCCCAAAGTGCTGAGATTACGGGTGTGAGCCACCACGCCCGGCCCTCACCTCTCATCTTACTGCTTTCTTTCTGAATAAACCTTAAGCCTATAGGGCACAACAAACCACACAGGTTAACTCTAAGAGTAGTACTCACTCACGATGTGGTTCTTGAATCCCAATTTAAAATCATTTTAATGCATCCCGGCTCCCAACGTAATTATTTTAAAGTATTATAGCATCTAATTGTTGGATATCTGAAAGCAAATTGACTCTGGGGAAAGAAGTGAGAAGCCCAAGGCCGCCCGCCCGCCCAGCCGAGAGATAGAGCTATAACTGACACCTATGTCAAGCTGAAGAACATCCTATTTCCGCTCTGTCTAAACCCTTTACAAAAGCAGCCTCCCCAGATTAACACAGGAATTACTGCAATGACCATAAGACACCCTCCTGAACCGCCCAGACCCTGCACGCCTTCACGGAACACAAACCTTTGGGAGGAGTGAGGCTGACTCCATTTTTAAGGCACCACTGTACTGGCAAAATCCCCAGAGAATCTGCATGGCACAGCACTGAAACTTGACTTGGCTCAGGTCTTAGGTCATCAATAGTCACTTGAAAAAAGTGATTGTTAAAAACCTAAAAGAAAAAAAAACAAGCAGGGGGGAACCAAAGGTTAATTCTTAGGAGTTACACATAACGCTAGTATAAAATACTGGCAGAGCTTCCAAAGGCAATTAATATATTTCATCAAAATGATTTGAATACAAACTGGCATTTTCAATGTCTGTTGCTAAATTGATTCAGTAGATAAAAAGTTAGAACTGACCACTATGGTCCTATTACTGGAAAAATAAATATAGGATATATGGAAGTATGAGAACGAACAAAATCGAAGACTCAGAGAATTAACCGACAGTGATCACTTAAAGATAACTGAACGGAGGAAGTCAGACAGGCAAACCCCAGCTTAGACAAGAGCCAAGACAGGAACTGAAAAGTGAAACCGTTTATCACTGTCCATAGCCAGCACCAAACTCTTTACACCTGATCATTCAAGAATCTCCGAGATCTGGCTTGGAGCTTTCTAGCCTTATCCTGCACCATATCCCTCAGAAAACCAGAGAGGAAATCATTCACACTAAGCCTCACGGGCTACAACACCCCCAGAGCCATGGTTAAGCTATCAAAACACAGTGCCTTTTCAGGGTGCGTCTCCTATTTCAATGCTGCTGACCTGGCTGGAATAAACAGCCCTCGCTCTGTGCTCCTAAAATTTCAGACTTCAACTTCTGTATTGAAACTGTCATTTCTTCCGGGACTGATAACATATAGTCTTCCAGTGCAATAGAGCGTAAGTTATTAGAGGACAATGATACCTTCTTGATGAACACAAGTATCCCCAAATGCACATAAAATGCTTTGTATGTAGGAACTGTATAAATGACCACTGAGTATAAGAAGAAACATCAATGAAGAAATAAGAGCCAGGTGTGCAGATAAGCAAGGCAGAGGACAAACCTCAGACGGATCATCACTGAAAAGCGTGACGGATTTAAATAATGTAGTATCTAAAACAGGGCAGAAAAGAAGATCCCTTTCCCAGCTCAACAGACATAACCCAGTCTTCCTTAGGAAACCCTGAGAGTTCTATGAGGCTATGATTCCCGGCTCCTTCCGAATTTTTTCTGGAAGCAATTGACTTCAAAGCGAAGCAAGAGAGGAAACTCACTTCTGTTTTGCTCTGTGCTGATTCTGGTATAGTGCACTGAAATGTTTGCCTGTGAAAGTCAACTTCAGGGAACAAAGGATCGGATGGGGGCCTTCCCAGTGAGGTCATCTCCGAGAACCCTGTTGAGAATCCCATTCTCCCTCCACCTGAAACCTGTAAGATTGTATTAAAGGATTATGAAAATCCTTCAACTTTTGTCATTTTCACTCTTCTGGGCACCTGCAGACTGCCACAGGCATCTCTACTGGACAGTCTTGGAAACGGAAGCATGGCGATCTGGCTCAGGGTGCAAAGTCAGTGTGGACCAACAGCGGAACAAATACGGAGGCCTTCTGGAACCCGCACTGCTACTGGGGGCACAGTCCCAGGACCCCAATATCCCTGCCCTGTGCATTTTTCTCCTTAGCCCATTTAATATGTAACATTCTGTATTTACTTACTGATTAATTCTGTTTATAATCTGTCTCCCTCCATTAAAACATAAGCTCCACAATGGGAACATTGTCCAGAATAGAGCCTATGAGGGCTCAGTAAATATCTGTTAAATGACTGTTATTTAGTCTATCTCGCATACATACACATACTCACACACATACGTATATAAAGAGCATGTGTTTTGGTGGAGCCACAGTACCTTGTAAAGAAGGGCACTAAGAATTTCCACAACCCTTAAGACTCATGCTCACGTGGGAACACTTCAAAGGAAAAGTTTGTAAGTTTCATCAAATCCATCAGGGCTCACATTCCTAAAAGGTCGGAAGCACTGTTTTGTGCTCTATCCAGTCCAGAACCCACAGGACTCAGAACTAAAGCCCAGAGGAGTTAACTGGCTTGTCCCAGACTGCACAGCGAAGAGTTGGCAGAAACAGAAACAGAACCCAAGGCTTCTAATTCGGTATCCTCCTAATCGATACAACACACTTCACTTACTTACACAGATGACATCAATACCATCTGCCAGTATCTCAACACCAAAAACACACCCCCGCTGGATGTCTAGAGGTTCATCATTTAACATGGATCCACTATGTGCCTGTCTGCATCCTTGTCTGTTTGTGGTAACATTATTTACATATTTCTTCAACAGTTATGCCAGCAAGTAAAAGCCCAGGGTGGAAAAATATGAAATTTTCGTTGTGACGAGTAATGACAGCACAGTATGTTACATTTTCAAACATAATATTCCAGAATACTTCCCCGTATTTAGAGAAATACATTTAAGTATAAATACACTCTACATTCAGAGTATTCTGATACCTCATTACATGAAGATGAGTCTTGAACCTGGGAAGGTGCCTACCCAGGTTCTCAAAGACAGATGCACACATCCCAGTCCATGCATTATCCAATACATGGTCAATAAGAGAAGGAGTGTACACAAAACAGCATGACTCATTTTATATCTGCTACAAAGGGTAAGAAAAAGCAAAATAAAAAGGAAAACACAGCTTAGAAATCAGTAAAAATACCTTCTGCCTCTCCACAGTAAGATTTACTTAGAGAAAATTATTTACACTGAAAAACCAACTATCGCTGGAAGTCTATCCAACTGGATAAAGACATTTGGGTTGAAACTAATTTTGATGAGCAGACACATTCTAACACTACATATTACAGCTATTTAAAGGCAAAAGAACATGGGAGAGGCTACGCACATCGACTCTGTTGAGTTTAATTGGTAAATACCGGGTGAGGTGGCCCTGCGGCAGATAGAGGGGCAGCAGGCATTGCCTACGGCACTCACTGCCAGAACAAAGGGGAATTCTGGCCAGGATTCAACAGGGCACCATGTGTCCACTTGGGAAAAATATCCAACAACTAGCAAGATACAAGGTCAAGAACTCCAAAGGTCATTTCGAATAAAAAGGTTTTTAATGGATGCTAGATAATCAGGAATACATGACTTTTGACCTCTAGATTATAAAGTAAAAGCCAATATATATTCCTTTTAATAAAGTACCTTAAATATTTAAAGTTATCTTTTTTTTTTTTTTTTTTGAGATGGAGTCTCACTCTGCTGCCCAGGCTGGAGTGCAGTGGCAAGATCTCAGCTCGCTACAATCTCTGCCTTCCAGGTTTAAGCAATTCTCCTGCCTCAGCCTCCCAGTAGCTGGGATTACAGGCATGTGCCACCATGCCCGGCAACTTGCTGTATTTTTAGCAGAGACAGGTTTTCATCATGTTGGCCAGGCTGGTCTCGAACTCCTGACCTCAAGTGATCCTCCCATCTCAGCCTTCCACAGTGCCAGGATTACAGGAAGGAGCCACCATGCCTAGCCCTTACAGTTATCCTTTAAAAAAAAAACTTTAATGGTTATAAAAATAATTTACGTTCACTAAAGAAAAAACATTTAGAAAGAATTTCACTCTTATAACCAATTTCCATATTCTGTAATACACTATCACTACTAAATTTCTCAAGTGTCAGCAAATTGTAAATTTTTCAAAACTATGACTCAAATAACATTAAAACACTAATCACTGCATGAAAAGTGATTTTCCTCAAAGAAAATCCCATTTCCTTAAGAAAAAGAAACTAAAATAGAATTGACTTTTGAATGTTTAATTAAATTATCCTACTGAAGTACACCAAAGACCATTCACCAAAACACACATTGGTCACGAACACTGTTTCCCCCTCCATTCACAAGAGAATCCTTAAGGCAGAAACAAGCAATTTCGGTTTTACCAGAGGTTATGTCATTAAAATTTCTTTAATGGGGAATGGATATTATACTCTTTTTAAAAAAAATTTTTATTGTTTTGTAGAGACAGGGTCTCCCTATGTTACCCAGGCTGGTTTTGAACTCCTGGACTCAAGTGATCCTTCCACCTTGGTCTTCCAAAGTGCTGGGATTACAGAAGTGAGCCACCATGCCACGCCAGGATATCACCATCTTCAGAGACTGACAGATCATTATCAAAATGCCTTTACGTTAAAAAGTAACTTTGTTTTGACTCTGGCACGAGTTTTTCTTTAGTCAATGAGGGCAGATGAGAAAAAGAACATAGAAAAGCTGAGACACGGGAGGTGAGAATTTGCTTTGCAGCATTTTCACGTATTTTCCAAGTATAAACAGCTCATATTTACCACTATCGCTGCAGGAAGAACAAATCACCCTTGTAATGATTACGACATGCAACTTGTCAGTGGACAACTAGCAGAAGACAAGGAAAATTCGCCCTATCCGTGATAAGAGGGGGTATCTGATTAGAGTCACTCTGTGCCACCGGTAATAAAAAGAGCTGAAAGCCGTGCTGGACCAGAGGGGCGGCAATCTTCCTTAGCTTCGCCTGGCAGTGCTGACAGGCTTGCAAGAATGTATTTCATCTGGCCATCTTCGAGTGGAAAGACTTAATTTGATCCACTCCAGGGGCCGCGTCGAAGAGTGAGGAGGAAAACCCACCTTAGTCACTGATGCAGGAGAGATGTAAAAGGGCTCGCTCATATTCACTGTCTCCAGCTTCATCCCAACTGTGAAGAAATGGCTTCGCAAATCTGCGTGATCCTGCAGAGAGAAAGATGGAAATGCTGGAAGCCACGGTTCTGTAAATGACCTCGGCCGCTGTCCGCATGCGCTCCAGGAGCATTGTACTGGGCAACTGAAATCTGATGGAAACAATTCACCCTCCCCGTTTCAAACTTCTAATTATTGCAAGATACCACGGATCTAATTATTTTCTGCGGGCTGTATTGCTTTTCCAAGGGAGAGGCCACAAGGCTTCGTGGCCATGCTTAAATTTACACTAAGCAAAAATTCACATTACATGGCTTTGATCTTCCTAAGTGCTATCAACTGAAGCGCAGCACAGTACGGGCGGCAGTCTGTCATCCTAACGTGGCAGGGTGTCTTCAGAAAACGATGAAGTCACATCGCAGGGCTTCGGTCACTACCCTGTACCCAGGGCCTGCCCCCACCTTCCGTGTGTAAGAGCGCACACTTAGCAGTTACGGGAGTAAGCTGGCACACAGCTTACCAGTATGAGTATGGGTAGGGGTACTCAAGTTTCCATGCTCTTAAGAGATGCCTGCAGGTAAGAATCCAAACCTGCCCCACAGACAATCAGAACCTGACTCCTGCTCAATGAAGGTGAGCAACACCGCCTTCTTAACAGGGATCTGGCAGTCTTATAACCCACTCACGGCAACCTTATGTGACAGAGATGGGGCTTTCCTGCCTTTGAAAAAGAAACAAGGCCGGGTGCGGTGGCTCAAGCCTGTAATCCCAGCACTTTGGGAGGCCGAGGCTGGTGGATCACTAGGTCAAGAGATCGAGACCATCTTGGTCAACATGGTGAAACCCCGTCTCTACTCAAAATACAAAAAATTAGCTGGGCATGGTGGCACGTGCCTGTAATCCCAGCTACTCGGGAGGCTGAGGCAGGAGAATTGCCTGAACCCAGGAGGCGGAGGTGGCCGTGAGCCAAGACTGCGCCATTGCACTCCAGCCTGAGCAACAAGAGCGAAACTCCGTCTCAAAAAAAAAAAAAAAAAAAAAAAAAAGAAACAAATTTCAATGTCTACTTCAGCCACACAGCAACAGAGGAGGCGTGGACTCCGGATACCAGCATCCATCTCGCAGAGATGGAAGTTACCTCGTAACTCACAGTCGGGATAAACAGCAGTGGATACATAAATGCATTTCCAGTGTGACCCTGAGGAAATAATCGCTGCAAATAAATCCTGCGATTTCAAATACATCAACTGGTTGTGAAGTACAAAAATATCTGGAGACCCGTTACGTTCTCTTACCTGCGAATCTGAAGTGGGTTTTTAATTACTTCCACAATGTCACTCTATATCCAACTCTAAAGACCGCACAGAGCCCGGTCGGGCAGTGCCTGTTCCCCCACAGCCCCCAAAGCTGGTCAGTATCATCAGTGTCCACCAGGTGATCAGACTAGAAGAGCTGCTTATACAGCTCTCCACCAGGACACCGAGTGGCCAAGGTAACAGAACGTAAACGCCTACAGAACCGCAAGGACCCTTTCATTTTTCACGTCCCCAGGGCAGTCTGCAAAGGTCTCTGTATGAGGGGCTGCCCGATGAATGCTGGGTCTGGGTGAGGTAAGCAGTGCCGTGTCTAAAGGAGACATTAATCAGAACAAGAAAGGATGCAGTCCAATACGACAAAACCCAACCAAAGAAAATGGCCGCTTTAAAACACTTAGAAATTTAGAAATTCCTTAAGAACTTACAATCAACACTTGATAAAGGTTATATGCATAAGGAAAAGCACTAGGACATGGGCACAGGTGATGATTCGCATGGTTTATGTTGCAAACGAAGCATTTATTTATTTTTAGCTTTTATTTATTTTCCATTTTTTTGAGTTGGAGTTCCACTCTTGTTATCCAGGCTAGAGTGCAGTGGCGCAATCTCAGCTCACTGCAACCTCCGCCTCCCAGGTTCAAGTGATTCTCCTGCCTCAGCCTCCAGAATAGCTGGGCACCTAGGTTGATTCCATGCCTTTGCTACAGCGCTGCAATGAACCTGTGAGCGCCAGTGTATTTTTGATAGAATGATCTGTTTGCCTTTGGGGGATGCCACCACTAATGAGGTTGTTGGGTCAAATGGTAGCTGTTTTAGGTTCTTTGAGAAATCTCAGCACTGCTTTCACAGTGAGTGAACTAATTTACATTCCCGCCAGCAGTGTGTAAGTGTTCCCTGTTCTCCACAGCCTCTCCGGCATCTGTTGTCTTTTTGACTTTTTAATAACAGCCATCCTTACTGGTGTGAGAGGGCATCTCACTGTGGTTTTGATTTCAAAGCATTTATTTATTTATTGAAACGGAGTTTCGCTCATTAACCAGGCTGGAGTGCAATGGCGCGATCTCGACTCACCGCAACCTCCGCCTCCTGGGTTCAGGCAATTCTCCTGCCTCAGCCTCCAGAGTAGCTGGGATTACAGGCACGCGCCACCGTGCCCAGCTAATTTTTTCTATTTTTAGTAGAGATGGGGTTTCACCATGTTGACCAGGATGGTCTCGATCTCTTGACCTTGTGATCTACCCACCTCGGCCTCCCAAAGTGCTGGGATTACAGGCTTGAGCCACTGCGCCCAGCCTCAAAGCATTTATTTTTAAAGGTGGCTGGGGGAAGGCAAATCAGGAAAGAAAAGTAATCGAAGGCTCCTACCCAGAGAGTGAATGTGGATCAACACACACCAGCCGTCATGCCCAGGCAGGGCCAGAAGCCACGGGCAAGGAGACATCACAACCAAACCAACACTGACTTGCTGGCATTGGAACTAAAAGATTCCAAGTTAATTCGAGCGCTTCTAGCATAAAGAAAAGACAAATATTTAAGGTGCTCAGTATCTCAATTACCCTGATTTGATCTTTACAAATTATATGAATGTATTAAAGTCACATGTACCCCAAGGTATGTCCATCTATTACATACCAATAAAAAAAAAATTCAAACATTAAAAAAAGATGAAAAGTGAATGCCCCTTTCAGGCACCCGTGTCGTCAGCACCCGTCAGCAGGAAACTGAGTCCCAATCATGGCTTCTGCAGGTCAATATCCTTCCCCATTTAAGTACAAACCCCTTTCATCTTTGGAAAAGGGGAATTATTATGAAATTATCAGAGAATAAAACGTTGCCTGAATGTACTCAGCAAGTCTAAGCAGTCATTATCACGCTGTATGAAAACTCACAGGTGCCCTCAGTCACTCCCGGCACATTCATAACTGTAAATAATGGTTAAACATAAACAGTGAATGTCAGTGTTTCTCAGGAGCCTCCCTCTCTATGCAGGACCCCCTTCCTCCTGCAGCCTGCCCCTTACCAGCCACAGCCACTGTTCAATGCATCCTGTATGGCACCCTTTACAATAAACAGGGCGAGGCATTCCTGAGGTCTGGTGTGCGGGGGCAGGCATGGGTCTTCTCCCAAGCTGCCTCTATCCCATGGCTTTCCTCGGAGTCCCTGCTGTAGGGGCACCCTGACAGCCATGGGATTTCTGGTCTACTCACTGTCTTCATTCCCTCCATTCCAGATTCTGTGCTTCTCTCTCTCCAAAGAACTCTCGCTCCAACCTTTGTTCTCTGAGTAGAGTCAGCTTTCTAAGTAGGGTTTACCCACAACCCTAAGCGCTTTCTACATCCCAGGCTCTCAATCTGACCTTGACCACTGACTTGGAGTCTTTAGCCAAATTCACACCCATCCTTTATCCCATACTCCAAGCCCTCTGGGAAGGTCTGTCAATCACAGCTCCTGGTGCTACGAGGAAACTCTGTGGCCCCAGGAGGCCTGCCCTCTCTGCTGACTTCCTGTGTTCACAGTCATCTAGCAGAGACCAGGCAGTGGTTGCTTCTCCTTGGAAATATAGCAGACAGCAATGGGTCACTGAGATAACCCTGTCCATTCAGGGCTGGGTCCCTGAGATAGCCCTGTCCATTCAGGGCTGCGGACTGTATTGCAAATGCTTATGGGTAATGACTTCAGCGTCCTCTGCATCTAATTACATCTCTAGGTTAAGAGAGGATCACTTCTGCTTCCTGCATACAACACACAATCTCTTCCTGTGCTCCAATGTCCATCATTAAACTTTCCATCTTTGCTCATCTATAACAATGAATATAAACATCAAAACCATGAATGCTCAGATTCAAGATAAAAATAGCATGACATGAAAATATTCTTAGCTTAAGAATAATGCTCACTGAGCATGATTCCAAAAATTTTAGAACCAGTTTCTCCTCTGCCAGTCTTGGCTCAGATCTACAACTTAAATTATTTCTCCTAGGTTTCAGCTGTGTGGCAAATGTATATGGGTCTTTGTCCCTGGTACAGGACTCCTAAATCCTATGGGATTTCCCAGGTGATAGGAACTCTTTTGTTCTAATGGGTCCATTCTTGGTGGGTCCCTAAACAGCTTCAGGGTTGGGGCTCATGTCTGGAAAGCCTAAGGTGATTAGGGAGGGTTGCAAGTTCATTTCCACCCCCGCAAACACTGGGGAGGGGAGAAGAGCTGGATATGGAGCTTATCACCAATGGCCAAAGATTTAATCAATCGTGCTTACGTAATGAAACTTCCATGAACACCGTAAATGACAGAGTTGGGGGTTTTCCAGTTGAATACTTTCACAAGCCAGGAGGTGGGGACACCCCAACTCCAGAGGACAGGAAGCTCCTGTGCCTGGGGCCCCCCTCCACCCCTCTCCCTGGGTACCTCTTTCATCTGGCTGTTCATTGGCATCCTGTATGTTATCCTTTACAATAAACAGGTAATAGGAAACTGCTCTGTGAGCCATTCTGGACAACTACCAAATCCAATGAGAAGGTTTGAGGAATCCTAATTTATAGCCATCAAATGCAGGAAGCCCAGGACTTGTGACTGGCATCAATGTGGAGGCTCTGGTGGTACCAAGCCCTTTCTTTACTTGCGGGGTCTGCTTTCAGACAGTGTCAGAAATGAATTAAACTGCAGGATATTCACCTGCTGTCCAGAGAGCTGAAGAACTGGTTGATGTGGAAAAACCCACACACATGATGTCAGAA